ATGCCAACAATCCCTGCTTGAGCAGCGAGTGTCTGGTCGGGGCCGGACTGGTCCTCTCCCCTCAGCCTTTCTTTTTATCTCTTTGATGTTTATATGTATATGCCTTGTTTCTTCCTCCACCTTGGAAAAAACTACCATCCTCTACTGAATGCCTGTTGGGCAATTGTCCCTTAGCAGTCCCTCAGAAAAAGGTTTTTCACCCAGAGGGTGGTTGGGCTCTGGAACAGGCTCCCCAGGGAAGTGGTCACAGCACCAAGACTGCCAGCATTGAATAAGCACTTGAACAATGCTCTTGGGCACATAGTGGGATTTTCTGGCTGTCCTGTGCAGGGTCATAAGTTTGGCTTTGGTGGTCCTAGTGGGTCCCCTCCAGCTCAGGATATTCTGTGATTCTATTACTTGTTTTTTGGCATTTTTGGATGGCCACGTGCAATCCTATCCTTTCTGGCTGCTGAACTTGTTGGAGGTGTCATTGTTTCTAGGCCTGCAAAAGTGGGATTCAACCAAGTGAAAAGCACTAAAAAAAGTTGTCATTTGTATGTTTTCTTTTTTTTCCCCACAGTGCAACTTGTGTGCTACCTTTCTGCTGCTTCCTACAGAAGGCAGATTTTTTTTTTCTTTTTTAAGGCTGGAAATTTTAGGAAATATGTTTTTGTTTTGCTTGGAGGTAGCTAAAAATTGCTACATTAATTTTAAGTCCATTGTTGAATAATAACTGCCTGGAGGTTTGTTACTTGTGTTGTAGCAGGTTGGTGCCTGATGTGATTTTGAAAATGACCAAGACGTAAAACCCTGAGAGCACGAATTTATAGAGAAGAGATAAGAAAATTTTTATTAAGAAGAGGATGTGCTTGCCTTTCAATTTATTTTTTTTCCTCCTTAATATTATGTGGGGCCAAAAATGTCCCAGCATTTGGATTGCCCTGAATATTGGCATTCTCTCAACAGCACTTTGAAGGGCAGACACCTCCTGAAGTGCTGAATAACAGATCTTGTACCCTTCCTTCAGGGGAAATCCTGTGCAGTACCCTGAAATTCTCACTTGTTCCACCATCTACTAGCTTGGAATATAATTTTCCAAATGAAGCATCACTGAGTCTGCACTCAGGACACAGAACACTGCAAAATGCACATTCATTATGGTGGGATTTGGATCCTTTCTTCACTGGGGACTCAATGGATGTTTTGGGGCCACCTTGGTGCACCTTAGTCCTTGTTGGTACCTCAGGTACTGCCAAAACCAATCTCCTGACCAAGCCTGTATGAAATTGTGCCGTGTTCTGCTTCTAACCACTGGGCTTTGGGGGGTGCCCAAAGAGCCTTTTCCATGGCAACTTTGATGTTTCTGTAATGCTACCTATTATAAAATGATTTCTCTGGATGCTGCATGAGGCTGAAGTTTGGAAAGAAATATAAAGGAGTAGCTGCTGGGATGTTTCAAGCTTAGACTAGTGTAACTGTAGATAAAAAAAGATTTTTTTTTTTCAAATCTTAGTTGTCCTGAAGTGGATCTGATCTTATGAGATAAGGAAGGATTGCTTTTGAAGCAGAAAGGGAAACAAATACGCAAATAACAAATGATTGAGGAAGCACACACTAAAAAACCCCAATCACTCCAGCAGTGTGTTCAGGAGAGCATCCTGCATATTCATATACGCAGTCAAAGCTAGTGATTTGTACTAGGGGGAAAACACAAAGACAGCTCAAGTGCTATGAGAGTGACCTCTAATAGTTGCTCTATTTTGAAATCCAGGCCTGCAGCTCTTCTGATTTCTGATTAATGTGTATCCTATGCATACTGGGGTGTAATGAGAAGGCTCTTTGCTGAGCAAGGTGTTCTCTGGTTCATCCCTGCAGCCCTTGTTAGCTGGGGCTATGGATCCAGATGGTCTCTGGGGATTCTGACAAACATTCTGCAATTGTTCCCAATTAAGTGGGATAATATTTACTTTAGTCTCTTTGATCCTTTTAAAAATAGCAACAGCAATTTAGATGTTTATGGCACATGTAATACACTTAAGTGTTTATGCTGCTTCTATATCATGTCTGGAAATACCATGCACTGTATTGTAAACAGCAAATCATGGTATTGGCATTTCATTCTAACTCTTGTCATAGTCTCTTGCAATTCTAACACTAATGGTATCCTGGATGCTAACAATAAAGTGCTGTAAGTGTAACTGAGAGCAATGTCCTTTCCAAATAGAACTTGGGAGAATAATGTGTAATAAGAGCATGAGAAGCATAAACAAGCACCATATCCTGGGAGCAGCACAATCTACACCCTCTGTGATCAAAAGGATCCTTGCAGCTGTGGTAGATCTGATGAAATGGGATTTTTAAGTTTTGGCGGAGAGAATTTTTGCTTGCTCGCTTGCAGCCGTGGTGCTGCTGTTGGTCCCCAAGGGTGTTGATGTCTGGACATCATTCAGAGAAGGCTGCACAAGGGCATCTGCAATTGTGAGAATTTGGAGGGATACCAGTGGCAGAGGTGACTGCCCTGCACCCTCTGCAGTGCTGCTCGCAGAGCTTTGGCTGCTCAGGCCATGCTCATGAACCCTTCCACAGCTGTTTATGGCAAGTCCTCCCTGAGGGGATGGTTGCCAAGGGTTTTGCAGCTCCAGGGATGTGGTATCTCACCAGGGACTCACTCTCCAAGGCTTTGCTACTGTTAGACAAGAAGCCTCTGAAAGAGGTTGGCAGCAAAGAGTAGGGATACAGGACTATAGGTGACTTCTGTCCTTCAGCCCAAAAAAAAGCAGTGTCTTGGACTGCTGCCTTGCTCCGCTGCCAAATGTAACTTGGATAAGAATTAGAGCTAGGTTCTTGATGGGTTGTAATCACATAAGATCTCATGATGGTTTCTGAAAGTGTGTAGCTGCTAACCCCAGTGTCCTGGCCACTTGCCAGCTCATATAATTACCGTCTGTCTTTCTTGCCCCCTTCCCTCTATGCCTCCACAGTTTCAATTAGACAAGTCATTCCTTACCTCTCTCCAGAATAATGCACATGCCTCTGTTCTCCCCACAGAGAAAACCTCCAACACCCACTCTATTTTTTTTATCTAGACATCAATTGTTTTACATTGTACTTTTATTATCTAATTAGTATTATCATGTCGGTGTACCTGATGCAACCTGTCTAGTTCTAGGGCCTGAAGGTTTGTAGGTAGTGCAGCATACAGTTAATTTATTGATTTTTCTAAACTCTGGACCCAGTCAATTATTTAGACTTGTACCAGGCTTCTCAGGAGTGATTTCTGTCAGGAGGATGTCAGCTAACTCATGTGTACATGGCAATACAAACATCAGAAGTTGGAGTCCTTAATGACTCATTTCTGGCCACCGTGTGGTTTTTGTGCAGCATTTTGAAGAGCACTGTGGGGATGCTGAAACAGCGTTTTCTTAACATGCTGGCAAGCAAAATAATGTGGTGTTGGCTGAAGCAGTGTTTTGAAGGCAGTTTGGGAGCTGGTGAGTGTTTCAGAGTGGCTGTGGCAGTGCCTGGCACGGTGACATGACACTAAAAGAAGCTGACCTTCGTTCGGCTCCAGCAGCGCACGTGGCAGCCTCAGCCCAGGCTCCGGAGTGGGAGATTTTGAAGTTCTTAAATGGCTAATTTTTCCTGATATGCTGTGGCAGTGCCCCTGTAAAACAGCCTGAGCTCCGTGGCTCACTGCGTGTGATAGCAGAGGCATTTCTAGTGCTTTTTAAACTCAAATGACATTTTACACTCCAGCAAAGAAAGCAAGTCCTTTACCCTTGGATGTGAGCTGGGAGCAGATGGACAATGATTTTTCACCAGCCAGTCTGTTGTCAGAGCAGTGATTCTCATTGACAGAGAAGTTAATAAACATTAGGAGGATATTCTACAATTGACATCTCCAGTCCACTGCTTTAATACTGGTTGTAATTCAGCTCAGGACCTTACAGAATCTTGTGTTTCCTGACATGTCATTTGAGTGTGTTGGATGGAATTAAATCCAGTCTAGTTCAGATGTGGCAAAATTGATCTTTATTTTCTGTACTTCACTGGAATTAGTCTGGGATTGTAAATTTTTGGAAGGAGCCTGTGCAGCTACAGTATGCTAATGGTATGGTACTTAGGTTTGCTGTATGGAATACACAAAAGGTGTGATAGAAATAAGAAATGACTACATACAATAATGGAAGGAAATCAACTGGGAATAATAAATTGTCCTCAGAATCCCTTAAGAATATACTGTTTGCTTAAGGAGGAGAGTTTAATTAAACTCCAGGGTGAAATACATCCCTGGGGAGAGGGCCAGCACATGGCTTATGAATCAGCTGCACATTAACCTGTTTCTTCTAGTTCAGGCACAGATGTTTGGGATGAGAGTTTGGTCATTGGGGAACAAATCCTCGCCCCTTGATGTGTGCAGGAGCAAGGTGGCTGTTAGGACTTGGGGTGGTTTTCTCCCCTTTACCCCCTCTGTTCTGTTCCTCTTCAGCAAATCCCAGAAGATCAGTTCATTACAAGAGCATGGAGTGACAGGACAAGGGGGAATGGCTTCAAATTGACAGGGAGCAGGTTTAGATTAAATACTAGAAAAAAATTCTTCCCTGTGAGGGTGGTGAGACCCTGGAACAGGTTGCCCAGAGAAGCTGTGGCTGCCCCATCCCTGAAGTGTTCCAGGCCAGGTTGGATGGGGCTTGGAGCACCCTGGGATAGTGGAAGGTGTCCCTGCCCAGGGCAGGGGGTTGGAACGAGATGAGCTTTAATGTTCCTTCCAACCCAAACCATTCTGTGATTCTATGATTACCCAGTTGCTGCTGATTATCTTTCTCCTTTCAGTTGCTCAGGAGAGCTGGTGACCTCCACTCCTGCCTTCTGGAAGTTTGTGGGTTGCTAACAGTCCTATGGGAGACACTGAGCACTGTGTGCTTGGAAAAAGGAGATGCAAAGGCAACACCCAGAAGTGTCTGAACTCTGCAGAGAACTGGAGCAAGTGACCTCCCTGTCCCAGGACAGCTATACAGACCTGTCAGTCTGGGGATCACCCTCCACCTCAGAAGAAGGTAGGAGGAATCACACTATTTACCCTGTAGAGAGCAGCACCTGCTCTGTGTTGCAGAGTTCTCTTTGTTTTGCTGAGAGCCCATGGAAACACTGGAATAAAACCATTAGGATGTCGTGTCTGCTTCCTGCCTTACTTTCTGCACAGTCTGTTGCAGATGTAATGAAAGCAAATGTGGCCCATTGGGCAACTTTCTGCTCAGGGTGGTACTGTGCAGGCTGTGATACCTATTAATTTGATGAAAATTACTATGGGGCAAATCTTGATCTATTCCAAAGCCAGCCATGGAAAATGATACATTCCTAGTCAGATCTGCTTCCTGTGGTTTTTCAGAGAAGTGTCTTACCGAGCCTGATGAACACAATTATTTTATGTCTATTATAGATGAAAAGACATTATTCTGTTTCAGAATAATGGTTAAATAAGTGAAGTTCTTAGAAAAAGTCAGCTCTTTACTAGCCCTGAGTAGTCTTGCTCATAAGACAGACAGTAGCAGGGAACTGGTAAACAGTACCAGCAGAACTGTGTTGGCAAAAAATTCATGCTTTGAGATTGAAGCAATATCAGTGAAAACTTATATTTGAGTGTGAAGAGAACAACCATGTGCTAGAGAACAAAATCTTTCTGACTAGCAAGTGCCTCAGTGAAAAGACCAAAACCAGACCTTGAAATCCTACTGATCAGCTGCAGTGTGAGGTACAATAAGCTTTGTAAGGCATTAAAGTGGCTTGAAAGAGCCCTAAAAGTGAGTGATAAGTTTTTTGTGGCAACTGAGTGTTTTTCTGACTCCTATTACCCGGGGCTTTTACAGGAAAAGTGGCTTTTGTGTAAGCTCAAATAAATTCTGTGTGTGTGTGTGTATGTATGTGAGCACAGGGATTGTACACTGCACATCTGGGAACACAGGGATCGCTAATTCCTGTATGTCCTGTATGGACAAACTCTGCAGGTGAAGGGAGAGCTCTGGAGCCCTGGGCAGACAAACCAATCAATAAACCACATGGAGTCCCAACATTCTTAAGACAGGTCTGAACAACCTTATTAAATGTATGCTAGTCTGAGCTGAAAAGTCACAGCAGCGTACAAATCCACATTTAGTTCTCTCTGGGTAAAACTTCACTGTAAACATAAGCAAAAATCCATGTCTGTTACTTACAGCTGATTTAATCTTTCATACAAAATGTTTCAGTAAGAAGGAAAAAATTGGGCAGGGCATTTTCTATGTATGTGGGCTTTGCAGCACAGCATGTGTGTAAATAAGGGCAGAGTTTGGCATTTCAGAGAATCAATGAGGCACATTATAGAAACTCAGAGCCAGGAGTGTTTTCCATCCTTTGTGTATGGGTGAGTCTGTGAACCGATCAATGGGTTTCTATCAGCATTCAACAATGCCACAACATCTTTCTGAAGTAATTGGGCAATTCACAGAATGAAAGATGCCATCCAAGGCCTCTAATACTCGTTTCTGTAAGAGGAACATTTATTGGTATTGAGGTGTTCTATGGAGACCAGGCAGTCATGCTTTTTTTTTTTTCTTTCCTTTCCTGGAGGTAATTCACTTCCTTTTAGGGTTGCAAGTAAACAGACTTCAAAATGACAGCAGAAAGGAAAATGTTGTCTTTTCACTGCTTCGTCACTGTTGAATAGAACTATCTTAGATTGGGTCACTTCTTTTTGCCAGAGGACTCTTTCAAAGCAGACCTGAAGCTTTCACACTCCAGTGCTTGCAATACAGATGGAACAGGGAATGTCTCTATGCTTATTATTATTCGTGTGTTTCAGTGCTTGGCAGTAAGATGTGGTTGGTTCTAGCAACTGATGGTTATTATTTCATGAGCCCTACACCAGCCTCCTTCTCCCCTGCCTTTGCTGCTGAACTCTGAACAGTTGTACTTGAGGGGAGGAGGAAGAACGGGAAGTGTTTATGCTCAGGACTTCCCCAAAGGTAACACAGATCCTGTCTCTGTGGGTACTAGTAAAAATGCTGAGTGCTGCATCTCTGAGCAGGACACAGGGAGCAGAGCATCCCCAAGTGAAGGAAAGCTGCTGGGAATGCCAAACTGCTGGGTTAAGCCAAGCTTGTGATGAGAGGAGGGTCTGCATTATGTTCCTCCTCTATTGGAAAGTGTCAGAGCTGCTTTTGACTGAGACTTGCCGTGGATGTCTGGGGGGAAGAGTGTGGAATAGCAAATATGAAGGGTCCTGAGACTTGTCGCTGTCTTACCCTGGTGCAGAGACCTCAGGAGTTTTATGGTGTGACCAACAGAGAATTGAAAAACTTGTGTGCAACATCCCCTTATTGTTTCAGTCGTGCTCCACATATACTAGAGCAGCACAGGAGTAACCTCAGGACAGCTGTGGGCGTCTCTGTAGTGTTCAATGGCTCTTCCTTATGCTGTCACCCTGTATAAACTGAATGTCAATTCTTGGCCTGAGGAAAATGGTTGTGCCAAAGGCCAAATACTGGAGGTCTATTCAAAAATAGGTGTAGTTCTTGTACTGAATGGGAAGGATAAAGCTGTGGGAGAAGTTTCATTTCTTTTGCAAAATAATCAGTACCCACACAAGTCCAAATGATCAGTGTGTGTTTGGGAAGTGGTGTTGGAAGGGCAGCAAGGCTCAGGCTGTGCTCCAGCACAGTGGCCTCTGGTCTTATTCAGAGCAAGAACTAATGGAAGTGGCTCTTCCAGCTTCAATTCATGTCTAGAAGGTACATTAAACGTGTCACACTGGGAACAAACTGGAATTCTTAAACGCAAATCAACTTTGAAACCCCACAAAGCTGAAATGATTACGTAGGCTTAAGATCTAGAAAGTCAGTGTGTAACAACCAAGTGCAAGCAGCGTGAGTGCATGCAATGGCTTTTGCTGAATGTTGTTTTTTCTCCAGTTTGTCTCTGGAGAAGGGATACCCAGAGGGTGGATAAAGGGTGTTTGTGTCGCTGTTTGAAAATTAAAACCAGAAACTGAGTTTAATCTCTGGAATAAATTCCTGTTGTGGAGCTGTTTCAGGAACTGCGCTGACTTGGTGTGTTTAATCCCTTCAGTGGGTCTAATGATCTTTTCCTTCCTCACTGAATGGAAACTGCTGGTTTAGTCCTTTTTTTTATTACTTCCACTTGCAAAGGAGCATGTGCCCACCATTGCTTCTTTTAGTGTTCTCAGGCATTGCTTTTAGGAAGTGTATGGCACAGAAAGGGATGCCCTTCTCTCTCCTTCCTCCCTCAACCCTGGGAATCTCCTTTCTCTCTTATCCTTATCTTGACACATACCCTCTATCAAATGGTATTTCCCGGTTCAGTGCTTGGATGGGCCAGTTTGGGAAGTACAATAGCAGTGTGGTGGCATCCTTGGTTCTTCTGAGCTCTTCTCCTACAGCAACCTATGCAAAATGTCTGCAACATGAGCGTGTCAAGCACAGTGATAGCACAGTAAGTGTCGGTGGAAACACGGATCTAGAAAGAATATTACTCGTTGCACCATTGGGAAAATAAAATCAAACCCTGTTTCAGTTGTTGAGGTAGGAGATTATTCCTCATTGTACCAGCAAATTCTTTATTTGCCTCAATGAAGTATTCATCCAAGGTCTAAATTCTGAATGGCCCCAAAATAAAACTAATTTAAACTGTGCCAAATACTTTCTGTCGTTCCGTCCTCATCATTCACAAGTGAATCCCTTTGTTTTTCTCAGCCTGCACACACAGGTGTGGGCCACAAGAGATGTTCGGGAAATCATTTCTGAAGCTACATTCCTTGCAGTGCAGAGCAGAAAAGCTGCAAGAGGAGTGTAGTGGGGCTGTGGTCCTGCTCCAGCCTCAATACCTTCTCACACTGAAGAAGCAATATTACTGGTAAAACCATAATATGGTTTGATTTTCTGCCTAATCACTCATCTTCAGACACAGGGGCAAAAGAGTAGGCCGTAGAGAGAAGGCGTCATTTAGCAATCACATGTTTAAAAATGACTGTTATTAATATTATTTTTATTTTATATTATTCAGCTAAAAGTAGCCTTCTGTCTCCTTGCCTCCTGTTCTCCTGCTCCCTGGCTATTAGCCAACTGCAGGTTGTTTTTTTGTTGTTGGTTTTTTTTTTTTACTTTTCTCACTAACTGGGACATAAATTGTTTGAGTGAGAAAGAATGAGAGTGGGACAGATGGCACCAACTGCTGCTGGTGCTTTGCTCCTTGAAAGGCTTCCTAGCCACTGAGTCTGTTTTGGGCAAGACGAAGAGGAGACAGTCAGGTTTATCTGCTTTCCTCAAGTCCACAGAGAGTAACTGGATTATTCTGGTTCTCCTTCCCTCTCTCTCCTGTAAGCAGCACTGCATCCCATCTGCCAGTGGCAGGAAGGATATGATCCTGTTTTCTTTAAGGCTTTGTGATCTTCAGGTTCTTCTGCCATTTCTGCTTATGCTGCCAGCTCTGTGCCTTTTTGTCTATCCCTTCCCCTCCTTGAGAGTCCAGTTGTGGGCTATACCAGCCCCTTAAGGGAGGATGCCAAACTCAGGAGGAGAAGAGGGAGAAAAGAGAATATTAAAGGAAAAGGTCAGAAATTGCTGTGGTCCTTTGCTCCTGGGAGCGTGACCTGTGTCTGGCAGAGCTGCTGGTCCTGGAAGGGAGATCAGGCTCTCCATGTGATGTTCATTTGGCTCCCTCCCAGGGCTTACAGGTAGTCCTTCAGAAAAACGATACTAAATATGAAGAGTAGGGCATAACAACATTTTTCCAAACCAGCCCATTTATCTAAAGCCTTTAGTGAACGTGATTATGAACAAACCACAAGAAAACACCTGATCTCTCTTCAGAAAAATTAATAATTCAAATAGAATCAAATGAAAATGGGAAAATTGTGCATGGGAAGCTCTGGAGATCCTGAGCAATTTTCTTAGCTGAGTTGTACTCAGCAGAATGATTTCGGCTTGAATTTAAGTGAGGATCTAGTAATTTATCCAGTTCCATGCAAAATACTCACCAATTATGTGTGTCTCTCATCAGGAGC